CGGTATATGGTTTGGATAGCCCCGATTGCGGGTTGCAAGGCCCAAAATAAAAATAAGGTGTCAAAATTGATTTTTATTAATAACATAAGTAGATGTAAAGTTAATTTAAATTCCAAAAATTTATGGGCCTTATAAGACAACAACAGTGTAGTGAGGCCCCAATAGAGCTTGTAAGGCCAAAGCAATTACCCTGTGGGGCCTTCCTAACCGATCAGGGCCTTGCAACCCGTTTTCACAATTTATGAATAAAATAGCGTTAAAACCAGACTTATCTACATGAATATCAATGGAATGATAAATAAATAAACACATTCAACAATAATCTACTAATAAATTGCAGTATTAACTATTGAAAACGACTGTTTAGTGGAAGCGCAAAATAGCAAAAACACTGGCCGTGCCCGAGGTCACCGAACAACTAGCCGTCACTGGCAAAATAGCGGCCGCACACGGCCCGCTCCCGCGTCCCTGCGTTCCTATTGGTTCATTTTACGCTTGTTATGAATTTGGCGCCAACCGAACGTATTTTAAACGGTTTTCTGCGTTTGGGCCTTCGAAGACTGGGGGCCTTACACCCCCGATGTACCTTATAAATTATTATGTAAGGTATTAATGCTCATTATACAAATTATTTCACACCATCAAACTTATGGTATTCCATGGTGGCCATGCTAAAATGACGAATTTGAGTTTACGAAATATCCATACAATAACTGGATACCACACAGGTTGTTATTTCTTTCTAAGGTGACTGCACAAACCACGATTATATCATCCAGTGTGTGTGTGATTTCCCAAAAGCTGCAAAGCCTCTCAAACTGTCATCGTGATGGAGAACTCTCGTGAAGCCGTGAACAGTTAGAATATCTATAAAAATATTTGAAACATTCTGGCGCACACCGAAAACACGCCAATAAGTAAGGTAGATAAAGAACACAATAAAACGACATGCCTAACCTTAGATTGAACCTAAAATACTAACGATATTAATTATTGTTTACCTATAACACCTTTGTAAGTGAAGTAGGGAGGTAGGTCATTTAACCTACCTCACTAAAAATAAATTTTTAAAGTTCCACTCTACGAAAACATGCAAAAATGCTAAACTAATTAACATTACAAGTTCAAGTTATCACTGAACTAAATTTAAGAAGGAATGCTGTTACATTTAAGCCAATTTCGCATAAAACATTTTTTTATACGAGCAGAATTTCATTTCGATCCAGGAACCTTCGCAATCCTTAGGGTCTCTATCAGTGCTCGATCCGCCCATAACTGCACCCGGATTGGCTACCGACTACACCGCTAGAAAGCTGCACACAAAACTATACCTGCCTCTTTCTGACATTCCCATCATAATCAGCACCCACCACCTTCCCACTCCCGCATACAAATTATTATAGTAGATATTACAAAGAATTTACTGTTAATACGGTTTTCCTACGTGGTTTTCAAAGTATTTTAAGGCAATCTAATGGAGTGCTTGCTCGAGCTAATTTGCATTGTGTACAGAAGCCCTAAGGTTTATTTTGCAGCAATGTTCCAAAGCACATAGAGCTAACTGCGAATGAAGCTTTGTAGTATAATTTTTAACAACACCTTTTTTTTGCCAAATGCCATAATAGCTATAGGTAGTAAGTAGCAGGTCAGTGTAATGGCGGTGCATTTTTTTTACTAAAATACATTTCCTCGTGGACCGTTCTTTGTAATTACTCGCTTATCAAGATTTTAGATAAGCCTTTTACATAGTTTATTAGGATGATGTGTCCTTCCGTTAGCAGTTTAGGTATTAAAACTTCATGAAATTGTCGGGGGCACAGCAGTGGCCAGTCCTAGCGTCATCAAGCAAATGACTTTTTCAGGTTGCATTTAACAAACTCAGTACTTAAAAAGTACCTAGCTAATAATATCTACACCTTTCATCTACATATTTAACTACTTATCTACCGAAGCTTTCGTATTTCTCCAAGGTTCATCAATACGATTCCCTGTTGGTTACTGTGTGTGTTCGTTACGACAGCAAATAGTCGTACTGTATGTATATGAGTTTAATATAGGGACCTCATTTAGGTACTTATGTTACTTATCTTCACGCAAAATAGGCGCATGTAGACGTCGAGTTGCGGAAAACAGCCCGTTTAACCATTACCATTATTTAGGTCTACTAAAAATGGTGTTGAATTTTGGCTGTCCTGTTATATAGTTTTATATCGAAATTAAATTTCCTACTCATATAAGAAACAAACTTATACTGGTTTTTCATGCAAAAACTTATATTAAAAACCAGCATTAGTTGATCCTTTAAATAAAATAGGTTAGTGTATTTGCTAGCAATAGGTAGTACAAAACCAAAACATTGTTGTGTTTGCATTGGATTGTTGCCCTATTTTGTGTGATAGATATTACCGTTTTTAATGTAAAATCTATTTGATCTTCTACCTATTATTACTTATTTTTATAATGACCTTAAGACAGAAGAGTGTATATGAGCACCATTTTAAGAAACACATTTATAGATTTGTTTGTGCACTCTCACTACACTCATTTATACTTGTAGTTTGTTTACCTACTTGTATAAACAATGTAACGTTATTTACGAACTTATTGGATAATTAATGTTAAAAAGGCAAAAAAATAGCAAATTACCGGATGGCATGCATGATCAACATTAGTTATTTATACAAGTATGCTCGACCATTCCTTAAACGGTTATACTCGGTTAGAAATCGGACAGACAGTCCACAAATGCGTAACGTGGACCCGTACAACATATCTACATACATACATACATCTCTGATCATATCCACCGTATATTTAGTTAGGCAACAATGTAGAGTACCTAGATTAACCTAATCTGAGATGCAATGCCGGACCCACGCCTAAAGCGCCTCATTTTTCGAAATACCTTCCCAATTTTATTGCTTACTTAATTTAAACATCTCTTTATTCAGTTCAATTTTAAAAACAACGATCTGCAATTAGTCCCTTTTGTCGTTACGTAAAAACCATTTCCTGAGGAACCCAAAAACAACAAGCGCGAAGCAGAACCATCGATGCAATAAATGATCGGAGATTTTCTCTTTATTCGTTGAAAAAACGTCCACGAGCGTGCCTCAAGCGTGTACCAATACTAGGAATATTCTTAATTAATACCTACTTGATCATTTTGCATACGAGATAATTGTTAATGGACAATTATTATAGTCTACGTATCGAGACTGATCTGAATTCTACTGTAATATGTTATACGATGCAACACTATCAATTAAATAACAGAGAAATCCGTTAATTTCACAGTAATTGGAACAAAAACTTTAAATGCATGGATCATAAAGCGTGCATTGTAAACAACAACAAGGAGGTAATTTTTTTTTTAAGCTAATGCCTCCAGCCAACTTAAACTCCATCTATCTAACCATTTCAGTCGCAAAATCTTAAATTGTATGAGATATGACGCCAGTGTTTGATTTTATAGTCGTCGTCGTTTGAAGATGTAAGTTACATTTTCTGAGGAGTGTCTGTTTAATAAAGCTATTGTCATACGGATACGGTTAGAATCGTATCGTAACGTTGTCACGAACAATCCCAAAGATTCGACAATTCGAGTCACACCTCTAAAACTGGTTGAAATATTGCTCGGAATCTAACTAAACTATACAACATGAAAAGTTATGGATCATTGAAGTAAAAAATGTATCCTGAAATCCAATGTCGTCTTATTTTTGGCACTACTTTTTGAGGTAAGCCTATTTTTGTGAAAGCAATGGACGCACCATCAAGTTGTTTAAAGCTGGCATTTTGACGTGAGGAAAAGCCCGTTTTCCATTTGTTTTGTATGGGGAAGCATCTGGCAAACTGGTTTTGGCTTAGATAACACTGGATTTTTCCTTGCAAAAGCACAGCGCAAAAATAACGTCGAAACGGATGTTAAGTGTGTAATGCACCTAAGGTTTGCATCCAGCAATAAAATAAGATTCCACACTAACAGCTGATGTAATAAAAACTTCAGTGTTTTATTTTATTTTATTACAATACGTAACCTACAATCGCCGCATGCTAAAGAGCCCTTTCTAGCCGTTGACAGTTTAAATGTTTAAACTTTTCACTCACACTGAGTGATAAAACACAGTAAAATAAATAAAGTTTCAACAAATATCATTGCGCCAACGATTCATTGCCGCAGGTGGTGAGGCTGTCACATTAATAGGTTGACATTATGAGGACATTATATTATAAATGTGCAGTGACCATATCGCGAAATAACATATACAGTCATTCTAGTCACCCACAGGCCGTTGCGTTAAAATAAGTTGGTACTAGCAGCAGGTACTATCAGTTATTCAATAGGTCAATATTTTGATTCTTCAGACAGTAGAAAGATAAATAGGGTACCCACTGGTCAATAAATTACACGAAAATCTGTCATATTATTATGATAAACCCCTATGTAAGTTAAGTACTGATAGTCTTTAATAGATCCGCTTGTCATATCTATATCGCGTGTCTATGTTAAAAAGACTGATCTGTAGAGTTCACAAATGTCTCCTGTGTATCAAAACGCAGAAGACTGTGTATTCTAACGCTAAAAATAAAATCTATAATGTATGACCGATAAACTGTTCAATACTGTCTAACACTTTATAAAAAAGATGGCTAACTGTGGCGGGCGACATTTTGGACATATTTTGCAACCAAATCTTGGCTTTTAACTCTTGGCTCTTACACGTTTAGGGGATATAAGTTTAGTCGCGGAATTTCAGACTGTTATACTTATGTCTAATTATGACATCAAAGATTTTGGGCGTAAGTCGTCATTATTTTCAATTTGCAATCTTAATATTGTTAATTGTTTTTTTGAAACTTGCAGAAGTTTTACGGCAGGCAGTATTTGATCCTGCAATTTTCTTCTGTACTGCCGACACATCTACCAACTGTAGATAGGGCCCTGTCAAGCGTTATTGGCTAAGATACACTTGCACTATTTCGCAGGCTACGATTGAGCTGCGGTAGCCCAGTTTGTAGGGCGTTGTCAATACAGATGGCGAAAGTCGCAGGTTCATATCCTGCCTACAGCGAAAATTTTGCAGATTTTCCAAACAAATTGTATACTTAACACGGGAAGTGTTTTAAAGTTTGGTATTCAAGTTATACGCAGCAGGTGAGTTCCTATTTGTAACGTAACGTTCCTAGAAACCGCAACGAAGGAAATAGCTCCATTTTGTTTAAAATATATAGAAAAGTAAGTTGCATAGTATTATTGATTTAGGTAGGAAATAATTAAAAAACGCCATTCAAATATCTTGATCAGAATAAAATAGGATGGTACTAAACTAACTACACACAACTTATCAGTTAATTACATCGAAATGTGTAGGTTTGTTTTTATATTGTATTTGTTTAACTTGGTGAGTACTTACGGACAGTGTTATTTTGCAATCAATAATAAATAAAATAATCATTTCAATCTGTAAGTACTATAGTCTGCGACTCGCTGCAGCCGAGGACATAAAACATCATCACCTTCCTGCCCTTATCCCAATATTGTTGGGGTCGACCCAATATGATTTTATAGAACACAAAATCATGTTTCGAGGTCTTAAAACGTGGTGTAATAAATAATACCCTGGCCTTTATTACTAGGTAATTAATTTCAGAACACGTCTAATCTGTTAGCACTGTTGATATGCTATTATTATTAAATAATTTTAAAGGCCGGATGAGGCCAGGGTACTATTTATTACACCACATATTATGACCCCGACTGCAGCGAGTCGCAGACTAGGTATAGTAATAGGTAACAATCGCCACTGCTACACAATTCAGGGAAAAGGCGCGCGGGGAGCCTTTACAGCTGGCTCACCCAGTAATAGCGACGATTTTGACGTTTACTGAATCTCAGAGGAACTTAAGGTACTCGTAACTAAGAAGATGGTGGCCACGAAATTTCTTGCATTTCAATTGGCTCACATCCATATTACGTTCTTGTATTAAGTTCTATCTGTATTTCGTCCTCCTATTTTGACAGCAGCAACGCTGGCTATGAATCAAGCGACAATCACGAAAATCATAATTAGAGTCGAGGTAGGTAGGTACATCCATGCCCGCGTAAATTAATATTTAGCTTCTTTGTCAAATATATACAGTGTTATTAGAAAAAAGTCAGACACGTGTTTAAAAAATATTTGGCCATCAATTTGACGTTGTCAAACGAAGTAGATATCATGTAAAACGACTGTTTCGTAAGAGCAGTTCCCGGTTCCTTTGTAGTAAAACTACGCAACGGATCATTGTTATTGAAAGGCAAATAAATATTAGATACGTAACAAATAGGTAGGTGTCCCTACGAAAGCGATCATAAGAGGTGTCAACCTTATCGATAACGCGAGTACAAACAACTATTGCTCCTTTAATACTATGCGTTCTGAATCTCGCGGAGTTCTGAATGACGTACATATTCTCATCTCTACTTATTCCTACTAATAAGATAATAAGTCGGTATATCTTTGACTATTAGACTTACATAACGCGGTCGCCATTTGACCAAATATGTTGATCTGTCCCTCGTATAAGCCCTTAAGACTTTATTAGGAGGATAAGAGGATCAGTACAGATCATAGGGATCATTTCTGAGTGGTTGGTGTATGGTGGTTTGATATTACTAAATGAGCGGGACGAATCGTTCAGAGCGGTGCCTTTGATGTGTGGTGCGGCTATTATAAAGGACCTTTGTAATTAGAGAATTTAATTTTGGGTTCCGCGTGAAAAAAATATGGTTCCGTCTTATTTTTTTAACTGCAATGGAATGGAAATTTTAAATATTTGTGAATAGGTATGTGTACCTATGTACATTTTTTTTTTATGTATCCTGTTCGGTGTCCCACTGCTGGGCAAAGGCCTCCCCTCTTTTGCGCCACATATCACGGTCTTGGGCCTCCGATTGCCAGTTCTGGAGGAAGGTTTCTATATCGTCGCGCCATCTTCTCCGAGGCCGGCCACGACGACGACGACCATCTTGTGGTATCCACTTAGTGGCTAGAATAGCCCACCTGTCGGGATGCATTCGACAGACGTGTCCTGCCCAGTCCCACTTCAGCCGCGCGGACTTTTTTCCGACGTCTATGATGCCAGTTTTGGAGCGCAGGGTTGTGTTTCTGATACGGTCGATCCTTTTAACACCTAGAATGCTGCGCTCCATGGCACGTTGGCAAACCTTGAGTTTGGACTTTTGTGCTTCAGTCAAAGACCACGTTTGTGCGCCGTACGTGAGGACGTATGTACATATATACAATTTTTTAAAAACACTTCCTGTGTTAGGAAGGTAAACAATTTTTGGAAATTTTGCAAATCTTTCCACTGCAGACAGGATTCGAACCTGCGGCCTTCGGCATCTGTACCTACTGCCTACCACGGCTCAATCCTAGCCTACTTATATAGCAAGTGTATCTGGGCCACTACCGCGTGACTGGGTTTCATCTACTGGGACAGTTTTTGCAACTAATTCATTCTTTACAGATTCAATGTAGGTAGTCAAATCGATGAAAGCGATCAAAGCGATCCACCACAGGCAGAATATGAACCTGCAACGGCATCTGTACCTGCTGCCGACGTCACAACCAACTGGGCTACTCAACACAACTGGGTTAATCTGACACACAATTCAAATACAATTACATAGTACAATTCAAAATTAAAGGCATACAAGCACAACAAAAGCCATAAGGTTTCAGTAGAATTATTATAAAAATACAAAGTATTCGCAATTAGTCGGAACAATTTTAAAACACGACAGCAAACAATCTACAAATGCAAAATATAAGTTAAAAAGTCGAGGTGGTTTCCTTATCAAATGCAACGGTGGTATTAAGCCGGCCGTATCTGCAAAATCAAGCGTTTTGAACGCAAGCTGACAATGCGACTAAATTACAAACTAAACTGTTGGATGTAATTTCATTATTATTGCATACACTGGCGATGGGTAATTATTTTGTTTTTTCGAAGTTAGCCACAAAGCATTTGCTTTTACCGAAATTATCGGTCTTTATGCAGTTCAATTACTGATTCTTGATAATGTTTTAATAAGCTTTAATAAGAGGTGTTTTTTATTCCTACTTACAAATTTTTGGATTTTCAGTAACTTTAAAAACAGCTACGAACCTAGAGGTACGTGGTGAAAATACCTAAAGTGCAATTATGTAAGATCTTTGCTCCTGTTAGGTTAGTGTTTAAAATGGTTTTTCTGAACTGTATCTACAAAGGTAAGAGTACCTAATAAAAAACGAATGTACTTCAGTTCAGTGGTAAGTAGTTAGTTTTATGACAAATGACCAACTCGTCATAGCCATTTTTCTTCCCCTACCATATTAATAAATATTCTTTTCAGCCCTTACCTATCTACGACATTTTTCGCTAAATTTGACTACAGTCGAAATCCCATGCAACTCTACACATACAACTTATTTAAATTTTACCTACATCAGTGCAGTGCAAGAATATTGTCTTAGTTGTTCGAACTTTTTATTGGTCCCGTTTATCACGTGAACTTATAAACAAAGGTGCAAAATACGAAGGCGAGTCGCGTGCACATTCAGCTTATATCAAACATTCGCGGAATCGCGCTACCGATGAAGATGGGTATCATACAACTGCCAGTTATTAAAAATGTAACCAGAGGTACTAAATATCATATAATTTTTAATTTTTAACTGCATTATGCTGAAGGTAAGAAGCAATTTTTATTATGAGAATGATTATTGGAACACTGCGCAGAACCTCAATGAATAAATAGTGTTGGAAATAATAATTCAGGAATACTTTACACTATTTCACATCTTTATTCACCAAAGTCCTAATAGGTACCTACAGAATGTCAAAAGGGTACCGTTACATTTTAAACTTTGTCAATTATTAAACTTTATACTACATCGCCGCTTATTCGATTGGTACTGCGTTTCAATTCATATTTGGACAAGGTTGTGTCGTCAACTTGGTAGTAGTGCTATATTTGTTTGTTAATAAACAAACCGAAGGGATTGATAATGTTTGTCCGTCATGCAACGAGACACAGTACCATTTCTTTTCAACATTGTTATTTAAAAGTGCAACAATTCAATGTACAATCAACAGTGTAAAAATCAATAACTAACAATAGAAAGCGGACAGTTTAACTTTTGAGCTTTACTTTTAGTAAAAATACCTAGAGTGTGGTAAGTGATTTTATGCAAATAAATAAAAAAACGTAATACTTAGGAAAGTAAGGGGAAAGATCCACAGAGAAGACATAAGACATGGAACGTGCATTATGTACTACATTAAACAAAAAATATCGTGATACGTAGGAAAAGAAGGGGCAAGCTCCACAGAGAAGACGTAAGACTTGGAACGTGATACGTGAGACGTGCGACATTGCGACATTTCAAAACGTTTTCACATAAAATATATGAAACAGCAGAGACAAAGCTACACACGTGAGACGCGCATCGCATCAATGACGGCCGATGATCACTTGTCTGACATTATTATTTCATTTCACGTCTCCTCAGTGGAGCTTGCGACTAAGTCTTATTTTTTCGTTAGTAGTACCTACTAATACAATAAACAATAGGTATTAATTTCTTCATAACTATTTTGAGAGTTTAGTTCAAACAGAGCATTTAGCTCGGTATGAGTTTTTGGCTGGTTTGGTTTGAGGCTCGGCCGGGTTCCGTAAAGTATCCCTAAAACGCTATAAGACCTGAGAGTATATAGCGGCGATAGACATGCCTATTTTCTAAATTTAAATTAATATTGTTGTTGTATGAACGGTTCTACGCGAGCACGGAGCGATGCGCGGCGCAGGCGCACGCACCGGAAATCGGTCCGGTTTTGCAGCAGTCCTACTCCTTATCGAGTGTACGGCCAGCATACTAAGCAACCTGACATCTTTGTTCTACCTTTTTTTTCTCCCGTGCTCAATCAAGCTAATAGGAAACCATGTCAATACTGTTATAGAAGTTAATAGAATAATGCATATTAAAAGGATGGTGTGCAAAAAGTGTAGCAAGGGAATTAAAATACCTAGCTGTCGGTGAAAAAACCT